CAGCTGTGGTTATTTTATTAATGCTTGGATCTTTTCTCACAAGTCTTTGGGGAGTTCTTCGGCACTGGGAACTGGCCAGGTTCCCAAGGTCCAACAAGCTCCAGGGCTTACTTTCCTTCTTATCTGATGTTTACTAAGCACCTATCCTGTATGCCTGCACACAGTTTCTGAGAGTCTGGCACACAGCCTATGTGGGGTCATTTTGCAGTCAGAGACCTAGCAATGCCTCTGAAACCTGAAGAAGACTATAAGCCTTAATTTTCCCAACACAGTGGTAATATGAAGTTTGAGTAGGGGTGAGGTAAAGAGAAAATGGGAGAGAAGAACTAGAAACAGTAAATATAGATAACTCTTTCAAGAAGCTATACTGAAAAGGAAAGTAGAGAATTGAGGGTAATAGCTGAGAGAGAACTGGAGTTAAGAAATGATTATAACATGAGAAAAGTATAACCAAGTGTTTATGTTGATGGAGAAATCCAAATGAGAGTGAAAACTGATAATCAAGAATGAGGAGAGAATTTCTGGGTTCATGTCTTCAAACACAATGCACGTGGAGAGGTAGATTTAGGTAGGGTTTCTGTGTTGCTGAAAAAGCACAATAAAGTGTGTGTGTAGGTGTGTGGGTGTGTGTGTGTGTGCACATGTGTGTTAGAGAAAGAGAGAGAGAGAGAGAGAGAGAGAGAGAGAGAGAGAGAGAAAGAATATTTGCATTAAAGAGTAATTTTAAGAATAGACCATAAAATTCATGCTGGTAAACAGGAGAATTAAGAAATGAGGAAAATGAAGAAATATGAAAGGGCAGTAGGATCAATTTATTGTCAATGCCTTGAAGTTGAAAGTTCGTTGAATTGGGATTTAAGAGAAAGTGACCTGAAAAAATAGGAGGTGATGGGTGAGGGACTAAAATTTAGATTATTAATAATTTGCATATATTTGCTTAAATACAAATTCTAAGGTATTTTCAAGGAATTAAGTAGATGAAGTAGGGTGGTCAAGATCTTTGGAGGAAACTTCAGAGTATTAAGAATGAAATTATTCCAGTTATCTACTGTTGCATAACAAATTACTCCACACCTAGTACTTTTAAAGCAATTTATTATCATGTCTATTCTATAGATTTACTGGGATCGGCTGAGTGTTTCTCTTACGTGGCTATAGTCAGATATAAGGTGGAGTTGTAGTCATTTCTAAGCTTGCCATGAATTTGTGCAGTTGATGTTAGCTGTTAACTAGGAGCTCAGCCAGAACTGTCAACCACATGGCTTCTTCATGTGGCTTAGGATTCTCACAGCATGGTGGCCATGCTCTAGAGAGTGTCCAAAAGTAAATGTTCAAAGATACCAATGAGGAAGTTATTAGGTTTTTTTATAATCTTGCCTCAAGTATTCTGAAATGTCACATGTATTTCTCAAGGAAAATGCTAAGACCAAATCAGAAAAAAGGGAGGGGACTTAGACTGCTCTTCTTGAAGAAGTGGCATGTTTTTATTGCAGACAAATATATGGAATGCAAGATATTGCTTTGTCTATCTTTGGAAGATAAAACCTGTAATGATCCACCTTTTTGCCAAAATAATACATACCTCCTTCTAGATCAAAATATATTTACCTCTTCTCTAAGACCTCAAAATCTCATTCTCATTATGTAATTAATCCAAAGCCCAGGATCTCAGTCTCTAAACCAGGACAAAGTATGAATATAGCTCCTTGCATTCAGTTTCTTGTGCACAACTTCTAAAATGCAGCTCCTCTAGATTTGAAAACCTTTGAAGTAAATAAATGAGTTATCTGGTGCCTACACATCAACATACAATGGTGATACAAATATTGGATAACTGCAATAGATACATGTTAAATAGTGGAAGAGACATGTAAAAAGTGACTTGTCCATTGTAATTCTAAAATCCAGCCAGGCATATATGTCCAGTTTGTAGATAAGGACCCAAACCTCCTCCCTGGAAATGATTCTCTGTGGCTTGGCTTCAACCTCTGACTCAATATTTTATGAAATCTTTGTTTTTCCATGAGGAATAACCTGTACTTACATCTTTCTCAGCCTGATTCCTGCTTAAGGAAGTTGAAAACCCAAAGACTTCTTTTCATTTCACAATGACAATTTCCCTTTTAGTCCAAGCTGATGATGCTTACATCTGTATGTTTTTGTCTATGATTTTTGTTTAGGGTTTACTCCATTAGAGAAAAGTCACACTTGCAAATATCTTCCAGTTGTCTTCTGTCTGATTTTGGCTGAGAGTTATGGAATTCTGGGTTAATATTTTAAAGATGCTTGGAAGTTTCTTTGTCTAATTGAAGAGGTTTATAAGGTGCACCCTTAAATATTTTTCTAGTCTTAGCAAAGGATCTTATAGCCTCAACTTAGAAATAATGCTACATCCCAAGGCCATTTTTTACTTTGAGAGTCTTTTGTCATTTGGAAAGGCTGGGAGTAAAAGGAGCCAACTTTTTATTTAAGCTGAGATAGTTATGACTCCTTTGTATTTACTCTAAATTCTACTTGAAGAGTGAACAATTTCATTTTTACTTCCTATATCTTAATCTATATCTTATCATTTGTAGCATAAAAACAATGTTGGTACTTTCAGTACTCTGCTTCAAAATTTCCTTGGCCAAATATATCAGTTTTCTAAGCATATTTTCTATTTTCCATATTACTACCACAGATAGCTGAAGTCTCAATTGGACTGGATGACCAAGATGGGCTTACTGCCATAACTTGCAGGTGTTGTCTGGGACCTCAGTTGGGGACATCCACTAGAATATTTAGACATGGCTTATCTACATTATTTGGGATGCTCACAGCATGGTGGCTGGATTCTAAAGGGAGCATACTAAGATCAACCATTTCAAGAAACCCAGGTGGAAACTGCAAAGATTTTTATGACATAACCTCAGATGTCCCAGAATGTCACTTACACTGAATGCTATTTCTCAAGAATTCTTAAGTCCAGCACAGATTCAAGAAAAGGTGGATTACCATTTGCAACAACATGGATGAGCCTGGAGAAACTTATGTTGTGTGAAATAAGCAAAACACACAGGGATAAATACCACATGTACTCACTCATATGTAGGGGATAAGAGAGAAGGAAGGAAGGAAAGAAAGACCACAGTAGACTATTGGACTTACAGAGGGAGAGAACATTCCTTGGGCTACAAAGTGGAGTCGGGGGGCAAAGGGGAGGGAGAGAGAGGTTGGTGATAATCGGGTGGGGGACATCGGGTACAAATGCAATTTGTAGTAATAGATACGCTGCCAGTATGAACCTGGCCCACACATCATGGGCACGAGGGGTGACAATCAGCTTTATATCCCATGAATATTCATTAAAAAAAAAAGAAAAAAAGAGGGATTAAACTCTCACTATTGATGCGGGAATGGCAAAAAGTTTATACTGTGGAAAACCAGGGAAGATGGAAAATATCTTTGTGCCCATCTTTGGAAAATACAATCTTCCACATCATGTTATTAAAGGGAATCTACATGGACACCAAGAATCATGACAAAAGTTTCTTTGTTTTTTGAGAAAACTACACTGTGAAAGAAGCCAAAGATCTTCAAAGAAGGAAGAATCACCCAGGTTGAGAAGATAATTGCAACAAGTAGAGATAATTTATAATATATTTTGATGATATGAGATTTAAAGTTGGGAAGTTTTAGGATGGATGAATAATATTAGTCAAGAAGCAGTTATATGGAGCATAAAGGAGAGCTGTGTTCCTTTAGACCTAGAAAATTGCTACAATAACCACATGAGATTTAAAGTTGGGAAGTTTTAGGATGGATGAATAATATTAGTCAAGAAGCAGTTATAGGGAGCATAAAGGAGAGCTGTGTTCCTTTAGACCTAGAAAATTGCTACAATAACCAAATCTATGGGTTTCCTAAAGGACCAGAACTTTTCAGATCTGGAAGGAAACAATTTTTCCTAGGTATCAAAATTACCTAGAAAACTGTTCAAGAATACAGAGGTCAATTGAAGTAAGACAGAGCCTGAAACTGCATTTTTACCAAGTTCCCCAAGGTGATTCTGATGCCTACTCAAGTTTGAGAACCACTTTCTAGATGATCATTTTTTTCGAAGGATTCTTAAAAGAGGGTAATCATTTGCTGTTACCTTGCCAACTCTCATCTGGAAAGTGCCCTGTAGGTATCTCAAGTTGTGAGGCTTTTATTCATCTCTTTTAACCCATATAAGACTTATCTGTCTACATTATATATGACTGACATGCTATCCTATAAGTGGAAGAGGATATAAATTCCCTCTGCCCTATCTAATAATTACCTAGAAAACTGTTCAAGAATACAGAGGTCAATTGAAGTAAGACAGAGCCTGAAACTTTGCATTTTTACCAAGTTCCCCACTCAAGATTGAGAACCACTTTCTAGATGATCATTTTTTTTTGAAGGATTCTTAAAAGAGGGTAAACATTTGCTATTATCTTTACCAACTCTCATCTGGAAAGTGCCCTGTAGGTATCTCAAGTTGTGAGGCTTTTATTCATCTCTTTTAACCAATATAAGACTTATCTGTCTACATTATATATGACTGACATGCTATCCTATAAGTTGAAGAGGATATAAATTCCCTCTGCCCTATCTAAGCATGCAAACATGTCCTCTTCAACCTTTATTTTGCTTCTCTAGACATCTACCTGCTCCTTCTGTCACTGCTTCCTATAACACACAGTGGATTTCTAGAATTTCATGTAAATTTAAATCAACATTGTAGGTATTCCAGCTTTTAAAAAGTTAGAAGCACTCCCAAATCAATACAATTATATGTTTCATTTTGTTTTTCCAAGCTTTTAACTTCATGTCACTTGTTCTCTTTAGGGAAGAAAAGGAGGATGATTTTGTCCTGATTTCATGTAAATTTAAATCAACATTGTAGGTATTCCAGCTTTTAAAAAGTTAGAAGCACTCCGAAATCAATACAATTATATGTTTCATTTTCTTTTTCCCAAGCTTTTAACTTCATGTCACTTGTTCTCTTTAGGGAAGAAAAGAAGGATGATTTTGTCCTGTATCTGTTTGGTCTTCACCCCATAGATGATTGGATTGAGTGCAGGAGGAATGGCTACATAGAGGTTGGCAAACAGTATGTGAAAAGATCGAAGAATATTGTGACCAAAACGGTGGGTCAGGACAGAGAATATGGCTGGCGTGTAGAATATAAGACTGACATTGGATTGAGTGCAGGAGGAATGGCTACATAGAGGTTGGCAAACAGTATGTGAAAAGATCGAGGAATATTGTGACCAAAACGGTGGGTCAGGACAGAGAATATGGCTGGTGTGTAGAATATAAGACTGACGCAAACATGGGAACCACATGTGCTGAGGGCTTTCTGGCGAGCATCCCTGGATGGAAGGTTAAAGATAGTACAGAGGATGAGAGTGTAGGAGACTCCAGTGAGGATCAGGTCTGACATGACAGTCATTACAGGCACAGCAAAGCCATACCAAATATTGACGGAGATGTCTGCACAGGCAAGCCGGGCAATGCCTATGTGTTCACAGTATGTGTGGGGAATGATGTGTGTTCGGCAGAAAGGCAGTCGCTTTAATAGGAACACACATGGGAAGATGATACAAAAGCTTCTGCTGATAATACCCATCACAATCTTAGTAATAATCTGACGAGTGAGAATAGTGGTGTATCTTAGGGGGAAGCAAATGGCAACATAGCGATCAAATGCCATGGCCAGCAGAATGGCAGAGTCCATGGCAAAGCTGTAGTGGAGAAAGAACATCTGGATAAGACATCCAGAAAAGGTGATTTCCTGAGGACCCAGCCAGAAGATGCTGAATGTTTTGGGCACACATGTATTAGACAAGATGAGATCTGTAGCTGCCAGCATGGAGAGGAAGAAGAACATGGGCTGATGCAGGCTGCGCTCCATGGAAATTAGGAGGAGAAGGACACTATTGCCTGCAAGAGCCACAAGGCAGATAATAAAGAAAGGAATGCCAATCCAGATGTGGAACTGCTCCAGCCCTGGGACTCCCAGCAGGATAAATGGGCCTGGACTGAAGCTGCTGAAGTTGAATGGGGCCGTCATGGTCATGAATTGGATGTGTCTAATAAATTGAAAATAGAAAATTCATGGCTGATTGTTACAATAATCTACAGACATCTGCTTATGATCTTTCTCCAATATCATCCCATCACTTTCAGCTCTAGGAAATGATAACCTATCCCTCTTTTCTTCTCTTTGCTAGTGAATATCCACCAAACTTTCACTCACAGTTTTAAGCTGTAATAGAAGTGGTATTGAGATAATACTTTCCTAGAGAAACAAGTCACATAACTCTGAATTCAGTCCTACCTGCCTACCAGCAACTTAAGAAGTTTTCTAAGAAAATGATAAAAAATAATAAAATAATATTATTAAGAGACCCACTTAATTACGAGTCAGAAATTTGGAGAAAAATTCAATGTGAAATACCAGCCATGGGGAATTGTAATAATGATCATATAAGGTCACAAGAGGCTTAACAAAGGCTGATTAAATATCTAAAACCTAAGCAAACAGTGCAGTCTGTTTTCTTCCTTGTTCCATCTGCCCTGGTTCTCATTATTGTTATAGAAAACTTCGCCAACAGTACAAGGGAGCAAAGAACATTCCTCCCTAAAATGTGAGGTTTAGGTGGTTCAGTTATTTATTTTGCAGCTGGCCAGTACTGGAATCCAAACCTGTGACCCTAGTGTTACCAGCACCAAGCTCTCTCAAGGTTTAGGTAGTTTAATCTGCTCCTTCAGACATTCCTAGGTTGGAGAAATTTTCAAGAAAAGATAGTCCTTAATAACTTACTATATACCAGACTTGTCTCCTTGAAAGAAGATAGAACCCTCCTCCCAACCCTCAAAGAATACAAATCCCCAGAAAGGGAGCCCAGTGTCGTGGCAACATTATGCAATGACATTCTGACCCACGTGTGATCCTTTCAATAATACAGTTTTGTGAGACCTCATTCGAACAGTTGAATCCTTCTGCCCAAACTCATCTATTTTGTGACATTATACACAATTCTTTTTCTCCAACCTTATAAGTCACTTTTTTTTTTTTCTTTCTCTCTGTCCCATGAAGGTTGCAATTCTTCAGTGTTCTATCCAGGCCTGCTGCTCTCTTGGTGGAAAAACTCCACCTGGGTGATCTCCATAACTGCCAAGGCTTTAACCTCTATGTTGAAGATTCTGAAGTTTTTTAAAAAAATCATATGATATTCCTCTCTCCTCAGTTTTGACATTACTTATACTATGCCTATTATTTTCACTTAGAAATCCCTCAGGTGCATCCAACTCAGCATGTTCTAAACTATTCCATTTGTCTTCTATTTTCCCAATCCTGTGTTTTCCTACAATGTTTTCCAGCTCANTTGCATTTTTACCAAGTTCCCCACTCAAGATTGAGAACCACTTTCTAGATGATCATTTTTTTTTGAAGGATTCTTAAAAGAGGGTAAACATTTGCTATTATCTTTACCAACTCTCATCTGGAAAGTGCCCTGTAGGTATCTCAAGTTGTGAGGCTTTTATTCATCTCTTTTAACCAATATAAGACTTATCTGTCTACATTATATATGACTGACATGCTATCCTATAAGTTGAAGAGGATATAAATTCCCTCTGCCCTATCTAAGCATGCAAACATGTCCTCTTCAACCTTTATTTTGCTTCTCTAGACATCTACCTGCTCCTTCTGTCACTGCTTCCTATAACACACAGTGGATTTCTAGAATTTCATGTAAATTTAAATCAACATTGTAGGTATTCCAGCTTTTAAAAAGTTAGAAGCACTCCCAAATCAATACAATTATATGTTTCATTTTGTTTTTCCAAGCTTTTAACTTCATGTCACTTGTTCTCTTTAGGGAAGAAAAGGAGGATGATTTTGTCCTGAATCTGTTTGGTCTTCACCCCATAGATGATTGGATTGAGTGCAGGAGGAATGGCTACATAGAGGTTGGCAAACAGTATGTGAAAAGATCGAAGAATATTGTGACCAAAACGGTGGGTCAGGACAGAGAATATGGCTGGCGTGTAGAATATAAGACTGACACAAACATGGGAACCACATGTGCTGAGGGCTTTCTGGCGAGCATCCCTGGATGGAAGGTTAAAGATAGTACAGAGGATGAGAGTGTAGGAGACTCCAGTGAGGATCAGGTCTGACATGACAGTCATTACAGGCACAGCAAAGCCATACCAAATATTGACGGAGATGTCTGCACAGGCAAGCCGGGCAATGCCTATGTGTTCACAGTATGTGTGGGGAATGATGTGTGTTCGGCAGAAAGGCAGTCGCTTTAATAGGAACACACATGGGAAGATGATACAAAAGCTTCTGCTGATAATACCCATCACAATCTTAGTAATAATCTGACGAGTGAGAATAGTGGTGTATCTTAGGGGGAAGCAAATGGCAACATAGCGATCAAATGCCATGGCCAGCAGAATGGCAGAGTCCATGGCAAAGCTGTAGTGGAGAAAGAACATCTGGATAAGACATCCAGAAAAGGTGATTTCCTGAGGACCCAGCCAGAAGATGCTGAATGTTTTGGGCACACATGTATTAGACAAGATGAGATCTGTAGCTGCCAGCATGGAGAGGAAGAAGAACATGGGCTGATGCAGGCTGCGCTCCATGGAAATTAGGAGGAGAAGGACACTATTGCCTGCAAGAGCCACAAGGTAGATAATAAAGAAAGGAATGCCAATCCAGATGTGGAACTGCTCCAGCCCTGGGACTCCCAGTAGGATAAATGGGTCTGGATTGAAGCTGCTGAAGTTGAATGGGGCCGTCATGGTCATGAATTGGATGTGTCTAATAAATTGAAAATAGAAAATTCATGGCTGATTGTTACAATAATCTACAGACATCTGCTTATGATCTTTCTCCAATATCATCCCATCACTTTCAGCTCTAGGAAATGATAACCTATCCCTCTTTTCTTCTCTTTGCTAGTGAATATCCACCAAACTTTCACTCACAGTTTTAAGCTGTAATAGAAGTGGTATTGAGATAATACTTTCCTAGAGAAACAAGTCACATAACTCTGAATTCAGTCCTACCTGCCTACCAGCAACTTAAGAAGTTTTCTAAGAAAATGATAAAAAATAATAAAATAATATTATTAAGAGACCCACTTAATTACGAGTCAGAAATTTGGAGAAAAATTCAATGTGAAATACCAGCCATGGGGAATTGTAATAATGATCATATAAGGTCACAAGAGGCTTAACAAAGGCTGATTAAATATCTAAAACCTAAGCAAACAGTGCAGTCTGTTTTCTTCCTTGTTCCATCTGCCCTGGTTCTCATTATTGTTATAGAAAACTTCGCCAACAGTACAAGGGAGCAAAGAACATTCCTCCCTAAAATGTGAGGTTTAGGTGGTTCAGTTATTTATTTTGCAGCTGGCCAGTACTGGAATCCAAACCTGTGACCCTAGTGTTACCAGCACCAAGCTCTCTCAAGGTTTAGGTAGTTTAATCTGCTCCTTCAGACATTCCTAGGTTGGAGAAATTTTCAAGAAAAGATAGTCCTTAATAACTTACTATATACCAGACTTGTCTCCTTGAAAGAAGATAGAACCCTCCTCCCAACCCTCAAAGAATACAAATCCCCAGAAAGGGAGCCCAGTGTCGTGGCAACATTATGCAATGACATTCTGACCCACGTGTGATCCTTTCAATAATACAGTTTTGTGAGACCTCATTCGAACAGTTGAATCCTTCTGCCCAAACTCGTCTATTTTGTGACATTACACACAATTCTTTTTCTCCAACCTTATAAGTCACTTTTTTTTTTTTCTTTCTCTCTGTCCCATGAAGGTTGCAATTCTTCAGTGTTCTATCCAGGCCTGCTGCTCTCTTGGTGGAAAAACTCCACCTGGGTGATCTCCATAACTGCCAAGGCTTTAACCTCTATGTTGAAGATTCTGAAGTTTTAAAAAAATCATATGATATTCCTCTCTCCTCAGTTTTGACATTACTTATACTATGCCTATTATTTTCACTTAGAAATCCCTCAGGTGCATCCAACTCAGCATGTTCTAAACTATTCCATTTGTCTTCTATTTTCCCAATCCTGTGTTTTCCTACAATGTTTTCCAGCTCAGCAAATGACAGTACAACAAAATCATTTTCTCAGTCTAGAATCTTTGAAGCTATCTTAGTCATGTCTCCCTCACACTAACTCTCCTTCTCTTCTAAACACTTACCATGTTACAAATATTCACTCTCCGAGTATTTCTATGTTACAGCCACTTATTACTACCCCTACATTAACTCCCTTATCCTACATACCATCTACTCTCACCAAGACCTCTGCATAGATCTCCTAACTCAAATGCATCCATTTTCCTTGAGCAACTAAAAGTCGAGAAAGGAGCCAGAAACAATACATAGAAAATGAAAATAATATTTTAAAACTATCTCCTGATGTATTCCTTGTGGTTTACTTCTCATTAAGGCTGACCCTGGAAATAGAGGCTTCCTGTTCCCGAAGAAAGGAAGATGTGACATAGGGTCTATCCAAAAAGGAAGTGGAAAGCCTATCACTTCCAGATAGGAAGAAATAGCAAGGCTAGCATTCAGCAACAGTGGATTTCGTCTGTGCTCAAATATAGGTAAGGTCTATTTCGTTATCAATAGATTCAGTTACAGAGGTAGATACATTAAGAGGCTTCAATTAGAATTCAGAACACAAGATCCAAGGTTTTCTAGTCACCACCAAAAAACTGTGCGTAAGCTACATTCCCCACATCACCTACCATGTAGATGATATCTACGGGAAGAAAGGACAAATGGAATTGGAAGAACAAACTGTTATAAAGAGAAACTAAATGAGAGACAATAAACCCCATGACAAAAGTACCATAATTAATGACTATTCCAAAAAAAGTTGGAATTATTATATATATTAATTTAATTAATATTAAACTATTAATATTAACTATTAACATAATGCATTAATATTTAAAGTATTCCTACAGATTACTAAGGCTTTGATCCAATAGAAAAATTGTCAATGGATGCAAACAATCAAGTTATATTAAAAAA